TTCCATACAGCAGTTCACATACACTTTGTCTCATGACATTGACCACAATTTAAGAATGGTTTTGAAGGAACATTCTTCAGTGTCCCAGGTGACTGGTCTGAAGGAGAGAAAACAGCGGCTGCTTCCTCCATGTCTGTGCAGGCTGGATAGACATGTGGTTGAGGAGTTAGAGAAGGGTTACCTCAAGAGCACAAGCCTGTACTGAGCAGGGGCCATTTCCAGAACTTACTGGGAACCTCATCCAAAGTCACTCATCGAGTAGAAGTACTTTGTGGTTGAAAAGCGCCAGGCCTAGAGCAATGGCCTTGAGGCTGGCTGGTGCCTCAGGTCTCTGTGCAAATGGGTGGAAGGATGGCTGCTCTTATTCTGCTGTGGAACTCCGGAGGTGCTGGAGGTTGCTGCTGCTTTTCTGGGCTCTGGTCAGGCGGCAGGCTGGGAGACCAATCTGTAGTCAAGCCCGCAGGGAAGAGGAACAATAAGTATGCAACCAATAGACAAAAGTCAGAAGGGAACCTTTCAAAGATCCTGAGGCAGACCAAGCCAGCTCTTCCAACAGCTTCACCTGCTGTTATCACTGTCACGGATACCCTGGGGGCAGTGCCTGGAGCAGTGGAAAGGCATCACAAAAGACAGCCTAGTGCACCACAAAATAGGACATTTTTTGGTCCATCTTTCAATATGGATGGTGGAGTGAAGGGACTAGAATTGGGTAGTACAGGTGAGAGTCAGAGGCTGAAGGGGAAGGCAGAGGGGCAAGAATTGTTAATAGGAGTTCTGAAACTATCCTGGAAGATCACTCTTCCTCCCAGGGCCTCAGTTTCCCCATCTGCAAAGTGAAGGTGGCAATTCAGAGGTAGAAAAGAGGAGGTAGACTGTGAGGTCCCTGGGAGTAGATGGCTGGCAGAGAAGCTGGGCAAAAGCTCTGAAGAACCTCCCACTAATGTTTGAGGGGCCAGGGCCAGAGGACAAATGAAAATGAAGGCTCACATACCATGTGTCTAAATAGTTGAAAGGTATAAAGCAAACAAACAAACTGTTAAATAAAATATGTTCTATTCACTGGTCTTGAAAAAATACTTTCATGATGAGCTGGAAGGTCAGGTTTCAATAAGATTTCTTGGACTCTTTGGAGAATTCTGAGCATGGAGCATGGCAGTGCGGAGAGCTGTCCTCTGGGCCCCGGCTGTCATTCCAGTCAGGATGTTCTCGCATATTGTCCTCTGGCCCCAGAGAGCAGAACTAAATGCCTCAGCCCCTATCCTTTGAAATCCATCTTTGCTGTGGGCCTGAGGTCCAGCTTCTCAAGAGCTGTTCCCCATCAATGATTGGTGTGGTAGAGATACTAAAGTAGCCTATTCCTGGGAGACACAGGACTCCTCTGATGGCCAGCTTCAGCTCAAGGACCCCTGACAGCTTGGCTAAACCTTTCTTAGACTGCACAGTCCAAAGTCTAGGGTGCCTGCACCTGTCCTTCTCTCCCTCTCTTTACTCAAGCTCAGACTTACAACTTGGTCATGGTCTAAAGGCTTTCCCGGCTTTCTCCAGCTCCCTCCTTATTCCCTTTCACACAGACATTTCCCCTGATACAATCCTTGCACATCTTATCCTACCTTGACACCTGCACTTGGAGGATGTTCACTAACAGACTGGCCCCCAACCCAACCCCTCCTCTTATCCCTGGCTCCTTTACACACCATGAGGTGACTCATGGGCATATGTAGGGAGTTCAAGGTACCCAGAGAATGATCTAGAAGCAGGCCCTAGTGGGCCAGTCTCCTCACCCTGTGGTGGTATGGGGGAGTGTGGTGGAGGGCTAGAGAAAGGCCCTTTAAAGCATGAGGAATGGGAAGGGGGGCCCTCTTGTATGTGTCTAACATGATACTGGCCAGGAACCTCCCCTTCACAGTCTTCCTGCCACTCTGTGGCTGGGGCTGCTCACAAGGTCACGTTCTTGACCTCTATGGTTCTTTCTCATTTGCCTGGCTTGTGTGGCAACTGGACCATGCTTTGAAACCCCCTGGGCTAGGGTAGTGAGCATGTGTCGCAGGCCCTTCACATTTTTATCTTCTTTCACTTTTATGAGAGTCTGGTGGAAAACATAGGTTTTCATCAGTTACCAAGGAGTAAACTGAGGCTCCAGGATCAAGTGAGTGTTCACACTCAGGTCTTCTGATGCTGATTCCTGGGCTCAGCCATGATGTGTCAGCCAATGGGGGTGTTCCCATCACATCACAAAACTCCCCTCTGATAGTTCAAGTGTTCCCTTATCCCTGGGAAATTAATGTGCTTTAAAATTGAACTTCTTTCAACCTTACAGCAATCTGACTAGGGGAATGGAGGGTCTAGACTATTGCCCTCAAAGCCGGCTAGTTCTAGCCCCTCAAAACTTATCATTATACTTGCAGTCTGGGTAACGGTAAGCAAATCTGGGGTCACAGGTCCTTAGGGGCCTCAAGATGTCCTTCAGCCGGCTGGCAGCCTCCAGGATTTCAGGGTCTGGGAGGGTGTCCTCCCCACACTGAGTGAGCATGGCATCTATCTCCTCCTGCACTGGAGAGGGGAACTTCCCTTGGAGAAGTTGGGGTAGCAACTGTTGACACACCAGCACCAGGCTCTGCTTCTCAGGGATGGTGTCACAGGAGGGCAGCTCAGCCTGGCAGCCAGAAAGCAGGCAGCTAAAGATGTCTTTATTCTCTTCTGCCCTGGTGGCTGCCTGGCTGCCTGGAAGAGAAATGGAAAATATTACACGCCCCACCACCTGTTCTCTTTTGGGAAGAGTGTCACTAATCAGAATTGATAGGCAAAGTGGTTTCATTTCCTAGCATTTTCATGTCACCAGTACATTTAGGACTCAGGGATACAATGGTCCCTGATGAGATCAGCATGAGAGTTCTCTGCTAAAATAGGCATAGAAAACCCACTTCTCCCTATCAGAAATAGGGTCTATCATTGTAGGAATCACATCCATATTGTTATTCTCCTATAATCACTGAATTAGGGAACTCAGGAAAATATCAGTACTGATTTCATTTGTGTTTTTTAAATACAAAATCAAGAGAAAGTCACCCAGAATATGCATCCAGTGGTTGCACTAGGCTGATGTCCAGTGCAATGTACTGATGTCCTGAATATTCTAGAATCAGCCTGATTTCTTTTAATTTTATTCTTCTTGTTAAAGGCAAATCAGGAAATGAGTAAGCATGGTTGAATTTGTCTTTCTTTGTAGTCCTTCTCATATAAATACAATTGGAAATCAGAAAAGAAAGTCCTTTGTCAAATTTTGGGCTCAAAAATTTGGTCACCATTAGAGATGGGGACTTTCAAAGGGTTCTAGAACCCTGGATGAGCATTTTCACATAGTGAGAAATATGATTCACTCATCCACCTCCTTTGGTGCCATGCCTTTTAATTAGAAAACTTTATATAAAGCAAATGTGCCAAAATGGATTGTAAAATGTACCAGTGAATCAGCCAGATATTTAAATTTTAGATAAAGGCTAAAAACATCTGATGAGGAAGGCTCTGAGGGAGAGATGGATCTGTGAGTTGTATGTGTGTGTGTGTAGGGGGGTCAGAGGTGGGTCCCTAGGCCACCTCACAGACTGACTTGGACAGCAGCACTGCCCTCAGAGGCACAGTCAGGGTTATGTAGGTTGTGAAATGCCTCCCACAGACAGGGCCAAGTTCAGGTCCCCTTTGGAGCTGGAGCTGGAGCAGAAACTCAAATGGGGGAGAGGGACATTTTACATGACAGCTAAAACAACTTGGGTTGCTTTCTCTGTGTCACACAGATACTGGAAAGGCCCAAGGTGTGTCCCCTGGCCACCCCTCTATAGCTTCTTCCACCCTGAATTCTCCTCTGACAGCCACTCATCCAGGCCCATGCTGTTTACCTTCCTGCTTGTCAATGATGCCCAGTGTGCTAGCATTCCGGATGAACAGATGCCCATTGCTGAAGATGCCAAACATGCCTGCATCAACATGAGTGAAGTAGAAGAAATAGTTCAAGTCGTTGTTCCTCAGAGACTCCAAGACACCAAGGAGCTGGTAGGCGAGGTCAGCTGCCTGGTCTGGGGGTGCACTATAGAATTCCTGTAGTGGTCTGGTGCTGGTGCTGACGAGGAATCTGCCACAGGAGCCCAGGTACTTGGGCAGTGGCCATCCTTCGGCCCCAGGGAAGATCTATCAAGCCAGAAGGAGGAGGCAGGAGAGGGTTAGGACAAAGACACTCAGGTAGAAATCTTAGTCTCTGCCTCACACCAAGAACACACAGAAAGATCAGCCTTACCCAGCCATCCTCTGTCTCCAAACTCGTCAGCAAAATGTCTCTCAAAATTTTCTATAACTCTTTGAACTAGGCAGTACCCCTGATCTTCCCTCCACACACATTTTTTTGTCATCTATTAATCAAAGGATTTGGAAAAGGAGCTGCTAATTTCCACACTGTGGATTGTATTTCAACAGAGTTTCTCTAAGTGTTCATTCCCTGGGTGGCACAAATGGTTAAGCATTCGGTTGCTAACCAAAAAGTTGGTGATTCAAATCCACCCAGGGGCTCCTCAGAAAGAAGTCGTGGCAATCTGCTTCCAAAAGGTCACAGCCATTGACAACTCTATGGATCAATTCTACTCTTACACACATGGGGTTGCCATGAGCCAGAATTGGTTGGATGCCAGCTGATTTTGTTTTGGTCTCCGAGTGTGGCTCAAGACTCCTAATGGACTTGCCATGGTTTTAGATGGCATACAGGATTCAAGGGAATATGTTGTTGTTGTTGTTAGGTGCCATAGAGTTGGCTCTGACTCATAGTGACCCTATGTACAATAGAACAAAACATTACCTGGTCCTGTGCCAGCCTCACAATGCTTGCTATACCTGAGTACATCATTGTAGCCACTGTGTCAATCCATCTTGTAGAGGGACTTCCCCTCTTTTGTTGAGCCTCTACTTTACCAAGCATGATATCCTTCTCCAGGGAATGGTGCCTTCTGACAACATGACCAATGTAGGTGAGATGAAGGCTGGCCATTTTTGCTTCCAGGGAGCATTCCAGCTGCACTTCTTCCAGGACAGATTTGTTAGTTCTTCTGGAAGTCCATGGTACTCTCAGTAGTCTTTGCCAATACTACAGCTCAAAAGCATCAACTCTTCTTTGCTCTTCCTTATTCATCGTCCAGCTTTCACGTGCATATAGGGCAATTGAAAACACCATGGCTTGGGTTAGGCACATCTTAGTCTTCAAAGAGACATCTTTGCTCTTCAGCACAAAAAAAAAAAAAAAAAGTCTTTTGCAGCAGATTTGCCCAGTGCAATATGATGTCTGATTTATTGACTACTGCTTCCATTGGTATTGATTGTGGAACAACCAAGTAATATGAAGTCTTTGACAACGTCAATCTTTTTTTTTCCATTTATCATGATGCTGTTTATTGGTCCAGTTGTGAGGATTTTTGTTGTTTTTATATTGAGGTGTAATCCATACTGCAGACTGTAGTCTTTAATATTCATCAGTAAGTGCTTCATGTCATCTTCACTTTCAGCAAGCAAGGTTGTGTCATCTATGTATTGCAGGTTGTTAATGAGTCTTCCTCCAATTCTGATCCTTCTTTATATAATCCGCCTTCTCGGATTATTTGCTCAGCATACAGATTGAATACATACGGTGAAAGGATCCAACCTTGATGCACTCCATTCCTGATTTTAAACCATGTGGTGTGTTCCCTTGTTCTGTTCAAACGACAGCTTCCTGGTCTAAGTACAGGTTCCTCGTGAGTACAATTAAGTGTTCTGGAATTCCCATTCTTCTCAATGTTATCCATAATTTCTTATGATCCACATAGTCAAATGCTTTTGCATAGGCAAGAAAACATCTTTATGGTATTCTTTGCTTCAGCCTCACAGTGACACACAAGCCACCACAGTACGACAAACTGACAGATGAGTGGTGGAAAAGGGAGTATGTTTTATTTTAATTTAAGTGTTGTGTACTTGACAAAATATGACTAGTACTTGTGATTTCACAAATATCATTGCTTAGGAAGTGACTTGGAAAAAGAGGATCAACTTAAAGCTTATTTTAAAAATTTGTATTAAAAAATAACTGTATTGGTGGTCTTGGGATAGGGCAAAAATCATGAAGCTGGCCCTTGGGTGATCCGCATTCAGGAAACCACTGCACTGGCCTGAAATCTTTCCTCCTGGCCCTGGGTAAATCTGCCTGGCTGGGGTAACTGGCTACTCACAGATGCTCTCGTGCTGACTAGAACCTTCCTGACAGCCTAACACTTGTTTATACTGAAGTACATAACCCTGGGCCTGTCTCTCTTAATTCCTTAGAAAAGCTTCAAGCAAGTGGATTTGTGAGGTGAGAAAAACAGGGAGGGAATCCTGCCTGGTCTTTTCTTGACTACCAAACCAGCTATATGTAGAATGACTTGTCTTTAAACTATGAGGGAAACGAAGGAGCCCTGGTGGGCCAACGGTTAAGTGCTTGACTGCTAACTTAAATGTCAGTGGTTTGAACCCACCAACTACTCCATGGGATAAAGATGTGGCAATGAGGGAAATGACAGAAACTATAAATACTTAGCACTTTTTTTTTCCTTTTCCTTCTTAAAAAAATAAAGTCATTCTCCTCTCTGATGAGTTTTTGTTATCTTCTGTTCATGCTTATCTACCTGTCACATTTGTAAAGATCTCCTGCCCACGTGCTCTTGGAATTTCTTATGCACAGAGGGGACCTTTCTCATTAGGTGCCATATATGGGGTCTTGGGCATACTGGTGATGCCCACATGTGTGTCCCTGGGACCGGGGCTGGGAGTAATAAGTGTCTGCTACTACTGCGAAGATTAGAAGGATGGGAGAAAAGACCTCTGAGATGTCCAGCAATTCCTTCTCTTCTTCTAGTGTTTAAAATTTTACCAGACACGTTTTTGTGGAGAGAGTCAAACAGCTCTAGGTTTGGGTCTCATCTTTGACTTTGGCTAAGTTGTTTAACATCTCTGAGCTCCAGTTTCTTCATCTGGAAATGGGGACAACTGTGATATTCCTGTGGGGTTGTCATAAGCATTGAATGAGATAATGCTATAAAGCTTTCAACAAAATGCCTGGCACATAGCAGGTGCTCAGTAAATGAGAGCTATTATTATATATTAAGTTGTCATTCATTTGGCCTATATTTTATTAACTGTTTTTACTGCGGCTTCCTATTTCTCCTTTCCTCCTCTCCCTCCCTTCTTCTTCCTCCTCTCCTTCTTCCCTTTCCTCCTCTTCCTTCCTCCTCCTCTCTAACTCTCCTCTTCCTGTCCCTCCTTCCCACTTCCTTAATTCCTTTGTGCCCACCCATTATGTGACCCCTGTGTCTTGACCCTTTGAGTTTGGGGAAAATTGGTGTGATTGGACTCCAGATGGTTTGTTAATACTTGTTTACATAACTGTCTCTACCACTGGACTGGAAGCTGCATGAAGGCAAAGGCTTGTGCCTTTCTTGTATTCCCTGGCCCTCATGCATCTTCATTTATTTAACTCTTCCCCTATTGATGGACATGTAGGTTACTTACATTTTTCTCTCTTTTCCAAGCATAGCTCCAGGACACACCTCTGCGAGTGTTTCTTTGGCTCATTTCTCCATCTCCTGAACTTGCTCAAATCTTACTGCTCTTGAGGCACAGAGCAAAATTGCCCTTCAGGGCTGCCTTAGGCAGTGAAAGTGATTACAGTCCCCCTCCACAGGTCAACAGGGTAGGATGACCCCCAATCTATCCCCAGGCCCCGAACACACACCTGTCTTGAGCTCCTCTACAACACTTCCACACTGGAGAAACCAAGGAATGCCAGAAAGGTTTTAAAATGGGTTGACGGCCCCAGGGCATGCAGTAGAGGGGAGAGAGCTCAACCCTTGGCTGGCCTGGGAGTCTGAGAAGGCGCTCCCTGAATTTTTGCTCCCACATTCCCTGCTCCACAGCAGAGTTGATCCTCACTCTTGAGAGGCTTTCCCAAGTTTGGGGTGGAGGAGGTGGGTGTGTCGCTGCATACCTGTAGAAGGATGGGATGCGGGTTGACAGCCAGCGTGTAGAGCAGCCGCAGTTTGTCGCGGTCGGTGAAGTGGTCCATGAAGATGCTGCCGGCGTCAGCCACCTCTGCGTAGCGCCGAACCACGCGGTCCAAGAGACGCTGCGACGGGCAGCGCAGAAGGGGGCTGGGCAGGCCCTGCAGAGGTGTGGGAGAGAGCCCCGAGACAGGGGAAAGGGTTCTGAGCGTTGGCGGGGGCCAGCAGGAGGGGGGAGGGGCAGGCGCTGCCGGTGGAGTGGACCCCGCGGTGGGGAGGCAGAGAAAGAGCGGGCTGATTGGTACTAAGGCTGGTCAAACAAACAAAAAACCCATTGCCATGGAGTCATTTGCGACTCATAGCGACCCTATAGGACAGAGTAGAACTGCCCCATAGGGTTTTCTAGGCTGTAATCTTTACCAGAGCAGATCGCAGAGCCGCTGCGTGGGTTCAGACTGCCAACCTACAGGTTAGCAGCTAAACGCTTAACCCTTTGCCCCTTTTCCACCGCCACAGTACCACTATTATGATGTGCCACTCAATTCCTCTTGTGGGGAATAAAATTTAGAGATATGGACCCAAGTTTATTTTCCATAACCTTTCAGCCCTCTGCTTTATCTTTCTCCTCACACTGAACAAAAAAGATAACAAGCCTGCTAAGATAAGAAAAGAAATATGGTTAAGGACAGGACTCTGGTGCCAATCTACCAGATTTCAACCTGGTTTCTACACTTACCAGCTGAGTGACCTTCGACAAGCTACTTAATCTCTCTGTACTTTGGGTTCCAATCTAAAGTGAGGGTAACTATCAGTCATGATACCCTAAGGGTCATGAGAATCAAATGTTAGATGTAAAATACCTAGAGCTTTGGTAGCATAGTGCCTAAGGCACTTGACTGCTATCCAGGAGGCTCGCGGCTCAAACCCAC